AAGTGGATACTTTCATTCTCGTTTTATAGATGAGAAAACTTAGAGAGTTGTGGGTAAAGTGTTAAGAAGAACTCCTTTCTCTGTCTCTGGAAAAATTTGACCCTGGATTAACTGTCTCCTCTATTCTCCTAGAAACCTGGTAAGATGGAACACCAGTTGTGTTACCAGGCCACATTGCTTATGGTAAAAATGACCTCTGATAGATAAAATGCACCTAGACTAGAAGATTGTAAATAAAGTGTAAATAACTGTTAGGAAAAGATACCATCTTTAGGCTTCTCTGAATACAGTGAATCTTAGAATTAGGCATGTTCCTTAAAGGGACCCTGGAATCTGAATTCAGAGCTATTGTTTCCTATTTGGGACATTATACCTTGATAATGACAATGTGATGTATCCCCTCATACTTAAGCTGTTACTTGGGGTATCAGTGACTAGCTCCTGAAGTGCTGCAGACTTTCAATGAAGAGAAATGCCTACTGCTGCTCTGCTGGAACACTGTATCTCTTGGCCTCTATCTTTCTGAGTGCAAACTGTGGCTTATGGTAGTCATGTGAGTTTGACTGTTTGGTTCAGCTTGGTGGGCTTTGCAAGAGGTGAAGTAATTTGACCCACAATGTATGTAAATGGACAGTTCTAGGAGGAAATACAAAGGCTAAGTGAAAATATGCTTAATCCTACTAATAATTAAAGTATAAATTAAAGTATAATGAGATGGTAAAAATTTTAAAGGCAGATAATGCTAGCAGGTGAGAATGTGAGAAAAACAGGCATATTTGATGGTAATATAGATTGGTAAAAATTTTTGATAGGCAATTTGGTGATGTCTCTCAAAGTAGTTATTTTTCATATCATAGTAATTTCACTCCTGAGAATCTATCCTATGGAAATATTTGCACAACTGAGCAAAGATTTGCAAGCACAGTCATACATTATTTTTTGTAATAGTGATAAGTTGGAACCCAAATATCTATCAGTTAGGGAATGATTAAGTAAATAATGGTACATGTGAATAGTGGAATAATATCCACCCTTTAAAAATAATGATCTCAAATGATCAACAGATATAAGTATCGAACACTGACAGCTGTTTATATTACAAAAGGAAAGACTGTTTGATGTTATATGCCCCCTGATGGAAGAACACTTCACAATTTATGAAGTATTGTAGTCAAAAAAAAAAAAAAATTAAACCTGAATTTGACCTATTGAGGTGGTGGTATATATCTAACCACCGATATACAGGAACTACAGGTACAGAAAAATATGATAAATTATACTATTGAGCTGCAAGCAGAAAAATCCACACTGTGGGAAGTTATAGGGGAAAAAAATGTTGATTTTCAATAAATAAATGAAAAGAAAAACCCTCAAAAGATAGAAGGAGAACCTGGCAATGAAAAGAGATTTTAAAAAAATGTGTGTCAGAGGCAGGACTTCTGGAAAGGTCAAGAGCTTGGCAGATCATCTCAGTGAAACAACTGCTATTTAACTGTAAACATTATTTTTTAAAACCCCACCCATTTCAAGTCCCTGGAATTTGTCCTAAAGACATATAACAAATGGAGAAATATTTATTCAAAAAAATCTACTAAATCTTAGTAAGAACAGTGCGGGTTTGTGGCATTTTAGACATGACTTGTTTCCATTCCTTTTCTCTCGGATATTTGTGATGAAAGCTCCAATTGGGTTGTTTGTCATTTGGTTGCTGAGTTGTAAGTTTATATGTACATATTCTGAATAATAGACCCATATCAGATATATGATTTACAGATATTTTCTCCAGTTCTTTAAGTTGTCTTATCACTTTCTTGATGATATCTTTTGATGTCCTTTAAAAGGTTTTAAAAATAATTTATTGAGGTGTAATTCACATAACACAAAATTAACCATTTAAGATGAACAGTGGCATTTAGTGCATTCAGTGTTATGCAACCACCGTCTGCATCTAGTTCCAAAACATTTTTGTCATTCAAAAGTAAAACCTTTACTCATTAAGCAGTTTATCCCCATATTCCCTACCCCCAACACCTGGAAACAGCCAATCTGAAGTCAGTGTTTATCTAAGGCTATGTCTGTTTTGGATATTTTACATTAACAGAATAATTTAAAATACGACCTTTTGTGTCTGGCTTTGTTCACTTAGCATAATGTTTTGAAGGCTCATCCTCATTGTAGCATGTATCAGTACGTCATTCCTTTTTATGACTGAATAATATTCCATGTATATATGTACATCACGATTTGTTTATGGATATTTGGGCTGTTTCTACCTTTTGGTTATTGTGCACAATGCTATGAACACATGCATATGAACATGCATGTATATATAATTGTTTGAGTACTTATTTTCAATTTTTTTGAGTATATACCTAGGATTGGAATTGCTAGATTACATGGTAATTCTATGTTTTACTATTTAAGGAAGCACCAAACTGTTCCCATTTTTGGTACTTGTAATTTCTTTGTGCAGATCCAAATTTCTGTCTGTTATCACGATTTTTGCCTGAAGGGCTTAACATTTCTTATAATAATGGTCTGCTTCAGTGTATTCTCTCTGCTTTTGTTTGTCTGGAAAAATCCTCTTCTCGTCCTTTTTTTGAAAAGGTATTTTTGTTATGTATAGAATTCTAAGTTGACAGATTTATTTTTTCTCCTTCAGTGTTTTAAAGATGTTGCTCTTATGTTTTCCAGATTGTATTTTTTTCTGATAAGAAGTCTGCTGTCATTCATATTTTTGTTTCTGTATATGTAATGTGTCTTTACGCTGAATGGTATTGGTATTTTCTGTTTATCACTGGTTTTCAGTAATTTGATTATGATGTTCCTTGGTGTGTTTTTTTTTTTTTTTGCATGTTTCTCATATTTGGTTTTGTTAAGCTTTTTGTATATGATGGTTTATATTTTCATCAAATGTGAAAATTTTTTGGTGATTATTTCTTCGAATATATTTTCTGTTTCTCCTTGCTCCTCCTTCCACATGTATTAATTAGCCTGCTTGATATTGTCCCACAGCTCACTTAGGGTTTGTTCATATTTTTAAAGTCCTTTTTTCTCTAGATGTTTCATTTTAGATTGTTTCTACTTTTGTGTCTTCAAGTTTACTAATCTTTTGAAGTTTCTAATTTTTTAATATATTATATATTTTTACATATTATATTTTTCTTTTGCAGTTTCCATATTTTTTATTTTAAATTTGTAGAATTTCATTTTGGGTCTTTCTTTATATCTTCCATTTCTCTACTTGTCATGCTCATGCTTTCCTCTACCTTCTTGGACATATCGAGTATATTTGTAATAATTCCTTTAATATCTTTGTGTATTAATTTTTATAATCTGTCATTTCTGAGATTTTTTTGATTAATTTTTCTCTTGGTTATGGTTCATATTTCCCTGCTTCTTTGTATAACATTTTATTAGATGCCTGATATTGTAGATTTTATGTTATTAGGTATTAGATTTCTTTATATATATATTTTTTTTAATTTGAGGGTTTTGATTTGATATAGTTACCTCAGTGTATTTGATTCTTTCAAGGCTTGCTTAGTTTTCAAAGGCTTGATTTTAAGCTTTGGTTAGGGCAGTCTTTCATATATAGCTAATTTGGTCTCATTAGTAAGGCAGTATTCTTATTATTATTCTATAGTACTGTCATTCCTATGTATGTATTAGAAAGTGCTCCCACTCTGACTAATGGGAACACAAACTATTATATTTAGGGATTCTATTGGAGATTGTTCCACCTTCTTTTTTCTGATGGTTCTTTTTCTAGTCTTCTTGGTTTTCTTTTCCACACTCATAGATCAGTACTTAATCAAAGACTTGAGAACACCTTTACAAATTTACAGAGCACTATACCTCTGTGTGACTCCCTCTTCTCTGATAATCTGCTTCACAAGCAGATTAGCTGCCTTGGCCTCTCCAGACCCTGAACTCTGTCTTCTCAACTCAGGAAGGCAGCTCGTCTCTGTTTGGATTTCCCTTCACTGCACTCACTTTTTCAGCCAGTGAGCTGGGGCACTTGATAGGCTCAACTTGGTTGTTTTTCTTTTTTCAGGGATTACTGTTCTACACTGATTGTTATCCACTGTTTGAGAACTGGGTATTTTCGTATATTTTGTCCAATTTTTAGTTTTTAAGGCTGAACAGTAAGTTCTGTTCCTGTTATTTCATCAAAGATGAGAAACAGAAATTCCTTCCCTCGGATTTTGTCCAGCTAGTTCCTTGCTATCTTGTAGGTTCTTTGATGCTTTTAAGAATTTAAAAAGCATAGGAAGTCAAAACAGAAACAGAAACCATGTTTGAAGAAATAATAACCAAAATTTTCCCAAATTCGATGAAAATATAAACCACCATATACAAGAAGCTTAACAAGACCAAGCATAAGAAACATGCACATAACCACTGTACCGTACACCTGAAATTAATGCAACATTGAATATCAACTGTAATTGATAAATAAAAATTAATTTAAAAATTAAAAATAGAAACAATTACATTTTATTATATCTCAGAAAAAAATAAAAGAAAGAAAGAAATATGCAGAAAACACACCAAGGCACCTCATTAAAATTACTGAAGACCAGTGATAAATAGAAAACACCAATAACATATAGCATGTTTAGTTCTTTCGAATGGAAATTTTGGTTCATATAGCCTAGGCTATCATTATTAGAAATGGAAGTCCTTATGGCCTTTTAAATTAAAAAATAAAATAGAAAAATATTGTATGATATTTTCTTAAAAGTAGAACTGTTAGGTGAGAGGAGTTGGGTAATGCTGTGTGTGGTTCCTCTGAACATTCAAAAGGGTAAAATAAGGAAGCTGGGACATATTTTACGTAGACCTGGGTAGAATTCCCGCATTCTACATGATATGTATACTGGGTAGTAAGTTACTGATAGACCAGTAGGTAGGATTCTTATAGTAGAAAATAATGGAATAAATTGAAGGAAGTCAAAGTGGGACAGTTATGATAGGTTGTTTTGATTTTCACCTAGATATTCTACATTTCTTCATTTCTCTACACCGTGAATTACATCTGGTGTCTGTACAAAGAGCTGAGGATGAAACACAACCAGAGTGGACAGAGCACATTTCCCCTGGTAAGTTTTATTCAGACCTAATAGTTAAGAATAGTATGCTGAAACAAAGCCATATAACCTTGATAAACAGTATAAGCACTCAGTACTGGCTATGTGAATTCATGGTAGTTAATAAAAGAAAAACCATATTCTCACTGAGTTTCCATTCTGTTGATATAATTTCCTTTTTATCTTATGCCACCAAAAAAAAAAAAAAAAAGGGATTTGATTATAGGAAACATTATAGTACTGCCATTCCTGCCTGGTTCAATTCAGTAAGAGAAATAATCCTTCTTGGCTCCATGCCAGTCCATTATTGTTGCTAAAGAAAAAGATCTTGGCGAAAGATCCGGGAAAGTGCTCCGTTTGCTAACATGAGATTTGAACTACAGGTATTGGTAAGGGAGTGTTTGTTCTGCTCCCCTGTTATTTCTACAGTATTTGTGGGTAACATACTGGTTTGCAGAAGAGCAGAGGGATTAATTTGTGCTAATCAGAAAACAAGATTAACCCAGGGAGTAGTTGTCTTTCCTTCTTTGGTTCACAAAGAGTTTGGGGCACTGTCTGGCATGAGTTATAAAAGAGAGGAGAACATTAAGTCAGTACATCTAGATTCTTTTTTTGTGTATGCATATTTTACACATCACATAATTCACCTGTTTTAAATGTACAATTCAGTGGTTTTTAAAGTAAACTTACCAGGTTATACAATCATCATTATAAAATAATTTCAAATATTTTCGTCACCTTAATAAAATCTTTCATGCCCGTTACCATTAATTCCCTTCCTACCTTCTGCACTAGGCAACTGCTAATCTACTTTCTGTCTCTATTGATTTACCTTTATTGGATATTTCATACTGATGGAATCATATATGTAATCTCTTGAGTCTGGTTCATTTCACTTAGCATAATACTTTTGAAGTTCACCCATTGTAGCATATACAAGTAATCCTTTTTATTGCTGAATAGTATTCGATTGTATACTACATTTTATTTCTTATTTCTGATTCAGCATATCACTAAGTGATCTTGGCAGAAGACAATTTTTATGATTTTAGCAATTTTCACGTATTTAAATATTTTTATATATTTTAATCTTATTATGCATATTTTACTAAATATTCTATTCATCTTATTTCTGCAGTATCCCTTCTCCTGTGGTTTTCTGAAGAGAAATTTTTATTTTTATTTATTCATTTAATATTATTATTTATGCCTACAGCACTTGGTCTTACTAGGTGGTCTCCCATCCAAATACTAACCAGGCCCAACCCTGCTTAGCTTCTGAGATCAGACCTCCCAAAATACCTTTCTCTAGAACCTACAGATCAGTTCTAGAACAAATGAAAGTGGCTTATTGTCATGGACATGATGAAACTGAGTAAATATTTCATGAATGAATAAATAGTACTAATCATTGTGAAAAGAGTATTTGATAGTGAATCAGATCTTTCTTCTAGACCCAGTTCTGTCATTGATCTCCTGCATATGCCTACATATGCCCCTTTCTTGGGCTTCAAGTTTTCATCATAAAATGATGTGCTGGTCTTTGGGATCTTTAATGTCCCTTCCAGCTCTAAAATGCTATGATACTCTTAAGTCCTAATCTGACCAACTTCTTAAGAAGATATCTTTTCTTCTTAAGAGAATAATTGCTTTTTTCTAGCCTTGTTCTAGATACATACTGTTGGAGAGGGACAGAGGCATAGAATTCTTTTAAAACTTTTTTTTCTTTTGCTGTAAGGAGAAAGGGCAGTGGGGAAATCGTTGAAACAATAACGTGAAGAGACCACTTATGCAGCATCCTGGACAAGATATTGCAGTCTGTATAATACAAGCATTGTTCAATAGAATTTTTTGCAGTGATCAGAATATCATATACTATCCAGTCCAGTAGCCACTGACCACATGCAGCTATTCAGCACTTTAAATGTGGTTGGTGTGGTTGAGAAACTGAATTTTTTGTTTTCTTTAATCTTTGTTTTAATTTAACTACATTGTATTGAACAGCACAGGACTATATTCTGATGCCGTTTTCTCTTGTTTACCTCTGAGGAGTCAACACTTATAATTAGTTTTCTGTATTTTAAACTCATATAGTTTCTCAGCTTCCTACAATTTAGAAATGCCCCATGGCTATATATACCTTTACATATTTGTCTACATAATCCTAGAATCCTAGAGCTGGAAGATATTACAAAGAAACAATTAGTTTATTTTCCTCCTTTCAGACAGATGAATGTTTAAAAAGTTCCACAACTTTATAAGGGTAGTATTTCAAGTTTTTTTCATCCATCCATTCATTCATTCATAAGTTAAGAGACTAACTGGAATTTGAGAGAGGTTATTTGGCCACAGAGTCATTCCGTAAAGAAGTTGCCATGATGGAACTAGTGGCCAAGGCTGGGGACAACATTTTGGAATATTTTTCTGAGGCCTGGGCTTCTGGCAGGAGATCAAATTAATCTTTGAAGAAAAGGGAAGGAGAAATATAAGATTAACTGTCATATGTGGTATTCTACTGCTTTCTTTGCATACAAATCCACCTACTGTATGTACTCTATATAACACATGCTACGAGACTTGTTCCAAGAAGATGAAACTCTAGCCAAAAAGTTTAACACCACCGCCTATTATTTTGTCATTATAGCTTTGTACCAGGTACTTTGAAGTTTTTTTTTTTTTTTCATTTTGAGTTCTCTTTTAAAAAATACCCAAGCAAGACTTCTGCCCTAAACATTTCTCAATAAACTTTTTATCAGAGATTCATTGACAGTGAGATAAGAACAAGAATTAAACATAGGATAGCCACCTGATGGATAGAGGATAGAATAAAAAGAGAAGAAAGGACGTGGGTGGGAGAGGCCACCGGAGACTAATTTTACTTATTTCCCATTTTACCTAAAGTCAGCACTGGCTATCCTACTTGAAATCATTTGCTATTTCTGATTCAAATTTCTTAAGGCAAATCAATTACCTAGCTCTGATTATTGGTTAATTGCTCACTTAATGTTTATTGATCCCTAACAGTGCCATTTCATATGTATGACCTCTACCTTAAAAGAGAAAAAAAAAAAAAGTTTTCTGTTATTATCCCTTTAAGGTGTTCTGTTCAAATCTTTCGTTATAGATTCCTAGTGGGTAGGAACCATTCTTCTGTTAGTTGTTTTACAGTATCTAACACAACTGGAGATTTTTGAAATATTCTTTCTTCTAGAATCTAACGGGTCTTGAAGGGCTTATAAGCCAAAGGATTTATTTGACCCTGCTCTTATTAGACTAATCTTGGCCTATTATGCTTTCTACTGGTCATCCTATACATAAACTTTCACTCTACCCATAAGGTCTGAAAAGCCCACACTTCCCTATATGTAAAAGAGAGGAGATTGACCTGTAATTAAAATATGGATCATTGTGTGATTTCATGTTTGCCTTTCCTAAGGGAATTTGTTCTGGTATCCAAATCTCATATTAAGATGCTTCCTGCAGGTTCTGTTTGTGACTGTTGTTGTTACTTTTTAGAATACCGTAATACGGATAAAATTTTCTTATCTCCAATGCTAATGAACAATTTATTTTGATGAATTTTATAGCAAGTATTGCTTAACTAAAGCAAGCTGGATCTTGGGAATTTTTGTTCTGTCAAGTGGTAAATGATGACCTGGTATTTATTATAATATGATTGGCAGTATTCTAAGACATTACTCACATTTATTCTTTTCATAGGTTATATATAATATTTGTCGAGTTGGTCAAATAGCCATCATTTTGTCAAGGTAAGATTTTTGCTTTTTTTCCTAGCAAGGTGTAGACTGTCATTATTCTGGGGTCTAGGTGGGAACAAATAGGATAACAAGGCCCTTTATTTCCATTGAGTCTGTCATGCGTAGGTCCTCACAGAGGCCTTACTGAGTAGGAAGCAACAAATATATGATCACTGGTTTCATTTTCTCAGAATAAGCAAGAAGTTCGAAGTTACAGATTTGGGTTTTAGCTTCAGTTCTGCTATCAACTCTATATGACCTCCAACAGATATTTCCATTTAAATCTTTGGACTTCTAATTCCTTTTTCTTATATCATAAGGAGTTGTAATAAGTGGCTTTCAAGGTCTCATCCATCTTTCTAACATTGGGTGAAACTCTTAAAATTAATTAAGTCTATAAAAGCTCTGGGTCTCACCTAAGTGGTTACATCAGAGTTGGCTTTAGATTTTATAACTCTTACTCCTGGATCTTTTCCTCTGGATAAATAATTGGTTATTTAAAGGTATGCTTTGGAAAAGTTCCCAGAAAGGGGCTGATGAGAATGACATTATTCCTGGTCACCATGGAAAGTGAAACAAACTGAGCACAGAGCTCATTGTTAGATTTTTTCTTCCACTTTGACTCACTTCACTCGGATTGTTTTCCGACTACACAACTCCCAGAGACTCTCTATGAAACTGTTAGGGTTTATTACCAGGTATAAAATCCATTTCTCACTCCACTTCCCCAAAAACTGGAAAAGAAGCTATACTTAAGGTTTTTAAGGTATTTTTCTTGGAGATATTAAGTGTGTATTAGTGGGGAGTGGTGGAGTGATAGAGATGGGAGAAGAACAGGAGATTATTTTGCAAATGGAAAAGGGCATGAAAAAGTCTGACTATTAGGGTGATAACTTTTTTTCCCCCAGCCTGATACCTTTGCTGTTGATGATACCTGTATTCTGTCTGGGCAATGCCAGTGAATGTTTCCGCAACTTCAGCCAGAGCCACAGGTAAGCAAGGGCCAAATCTATCATTTTCATAGTAGACTACACCTATTCTTTTCTATAAATAGATGTGGAAGAAGACTTTCTACATACATTCTGGCCAAGGTGCTTGTATGCGAAATGGGCTGTGGAACTGTGGCGTCAAGGCTGAAAATACATAATTAGAAATGTAACTCAAAGTGTCTAGAAAATTATGTATCTGTGAGAAGGAACAAGGTGTTGTGGGGTAAAGGTTAGCAAAATGATAAGTAAAATTTACTTATCATTAATTTTTGTTGCACTGATAGGTATCTCTCTAGTTTTATATTTGTAGCAGTATCGTGTCCGTTGATTTTCTTCCTAGGTGTATCCTGATGCACTCACCACCATCAGCCATGGCTAAACTCCTGCCTTCTGCCAACACATCAGTCTGTAGCACACTTTATTTTTATGGGCTCATCATTTTCCTGGCCAGCTTTCTACTCAGCCTCCTTACCATTGTAGTATGGTGCCACCTTACTTATCTTTATGGAAAGAAGTGGGGGTAGAGAGGGCTGGGAAAGATGGGATGGAGAATCACTTGTCAGATCCTAAGAGGATGATCTCTCTAAAATGATACAAGGGTGGACCTGGGAAATTTTACTAAGCCTTGGGCAAGCTACTCACTGCTGTACCCATGTCTAGGTCTTACTCATCCAAGCCCAGACACTGTATAAGAAGTTTGTAAAATCAACTGGCTTTCTAGGGAGTGAACAGTGGGCAGTGATTCATATCGTGGAGCAGCGAGTGCGCTTCTACCCAGCGGCTTTCTTTTGCTGCTGGGGCCCAGGTGGGTATCTTAATGGAAAAAGCTGAGCAATGCGGTCTCAAGAAGGATGACTACAAATTTCTGTCCAGCTTGTAAAATTTATGTTGGTTCTACCCATATTTCCAATTTTGCCCAACATCCTTAAGTTCTTTTTTTCTTATGTTTGAGAAATTAAGATAATTAGATATGAGATTCGACCTGATATGAGAGAAAATGTCCTGACACAACTCAGAGATATTAACACCTGCTCTTCTACTATATAAAGTTGTAGTGAGGATTAGATTGGATAATGTTTATGAAAGCTTGGTGAACTCTAAAATGCTAAAAAGTATAATTTATTATTGTGGTAGATCTTGTCATTATTGTTACACTGATAATCTGCAGAGTTTAATCAATGAGGAGTAAAAGTTGAAGGCCCAGTGTTTTATATAACTGGTTAATCTCACTGCTAGTCTTCATTATGCCTGTAGCTTCCATTCTCACAATGCTTAGGCATGTATACTGAAGAATTTTATGCTCCGGCAGTTAAGGTTTGCAACAAGATTTATACTTTGTGTTTTCACAGCTGTCATTCTGATGATCATAAAGCTGATCAAACCACAGGACACTAAGCTTCACATGGCCTTCTATGTTCTCCAGGTAATACCTTCAACATCCAGCATCTCTGCTCTCACACTCTCTTATCTTATTCTCTTATATTGCTATTACTCAGTAACCACAGTTTTCCCCTCCGGGGATTTATTTCTACATTGTAAAAGAGAAAATGTGTTATTTATATTTAGTTATGAAGAATGTGAAATTTTCCTCAGAGATGAGGTAGGTACTCTTGTAAAAGTGCTGCCATGCATTTTAGAGCACATGTATGTCTGGTCAACTTCATTTTATTGATGTGTTTTTAAGGGATGAGTGAAAAAAAAAACATCTACTAGATAACATTCTTATGAAATGCTGACAGTGACACGATTCTCTTCCATCTAGAGTAAATTTACTGGGATAAATGAGATATTCTAGGTGAATAGGGAGGCATGAAATGGAACAACTCTCCCTTTTCCTCCTTTGTAGAGTTAAAAAGGCTTTTTGGGCTATCTCACTATCCTGATAGGGCAGTGTTCTCATACCTAACCTGGGAAATGGGGCAATAAAAAAGGACAATGAAACCACTTCACTGTCCTCATGTATATAATAAGAAGTAAAGCCAACTCTGTCATCAATGAGCAGGTACAGTATGAAGAGTGAGTTCAGGAAGAGCTAGAAAAATAATTAAAAACCGATGCCAGATCTTGATGTATGAGACAGAGGAAATATAATAATACTTTATAAATAAGGGAAATGGGGACTGTTCCCTAGATCTCTGAAAACCTGAAGGATGGGCTCCATTACTCGTTCATCCCCTCCAGGCTCTAACAGCATCATCTCAAGGTCTGCTCAACTGTGGAGTATATGGCTGGACACAGTACAAGTTTTTTCAACTAAAGCAAGAGGCCCGGCGTGATGCAGACACCCAGACACCATTGTTATGCTCACAGAAGAGATTCTATAGCAGGGGCCTAGATCCATTGGAGTCTACTCTTACTTTTGCTACCAGTACCTCCACCATTCGTTGAAACTATAATACTGGAATATTCAGGAACTGGAGTTATTTCACACTATGGGATTGGGGAAAGTGTTGGGGAACAACATCTTAAAGTCTTTTCTAACCATGCCCTTAAACTGTGGAAGAAAAAGGGCATATAGTGCCATGGTTAGTATCTGTTCTAGGTAAATTGGGCAGGATCTCTTCATTAATCTCATTCACTAGTGATTCATAAAGTCTTTGTTCAGGGAGTTGAGGCCACTTTCCATCTAAGAGACAGATTCATATTACCTGGACGAATATTAGATTTGTCTAAGCCTTTTCAAGAAAAAAATAATTTCCAGTTATTATTTATGTGTGCCACTTCCAGAGTCTCTACTCCATGGTTGTGGGGAGCAGGGTGGCATACCAATTTGCTTAGATCTTGTCATTGCTATTACTGTCTCTGAGGGTGGACAAAGGAAGTTCTGGGTTTCTATGCTTTGAAGAGGTTTGGAAACTCAGAAGAAGCAAGGACAACAACTATGAAAAAAGTGACAGCGGGCTCCTTAGATTCACCACAGTTTAGTCTCCTATATGCTCAGTATTGTTCTAGGTCTTGGCAGTAGGGCCCATCCTACTCGAAAATTAAGGCCAGTCTCTTGAAGTTACAAGGGATCATAAGATTAAAGAGAAACCACGACTAAAAGAAACTCTAAGAATTGAAAACTCTAAACTGTCATTTATAAGCAGAAATCCAAAGTAGGTTTCATAGTGCCTGGACATTGAATTAGGTTGAATCATATGAACTTTCCATTTTTGTAGGTGAAAATATCTAATATCATCAATTTTACATGGTTCAACCTAACAGTAAGTGCTAAGTATGTTTATAGAATAAATGAATGAACAAATGAATGAATGACTAATAAGTATAATTTGAACCTTTTGGAAAAGAAAAGATTCCTAGACTACAGAGCCTCAGTTATGAGTAGGAATGTCTAGTGTTTCTTCCTCTTCAATCGTATAACAAGTGATGTTTAATTTCTCCAGTTAATTTATAAACAAGTCCAATCCGAGGCCAGGACATCAGACAGAGTGACTAGAGTGATAGTCTGGAACTAATAATCAATGCTTCTGGCCTGATAAATTCCCTTGGTTTGTCCAGGGCAAAATCCTTAAGTAATCTTTCCTTCGGAGAATTGACAGAGTAAGTTATAATGGGGAATTAGTATCATCTGAAAAGTAAGTTCCAGAGAGCTTTCCAAAGGAGCTTTCCATAGGAGTTTTAGGGAGCTCAATAATAGTTCTTTAGATTTAGGCCATGAGCCTTACTCTCAAGGGTGCCTTGGCCTTGTTCTGTCAAGATTACATCTTGAGGCCTCTCATTGCTCCATAACTCTGGAGACCTGATCTCTGGGCAGCACAGAACAAGAAAGATTGCCTCACCTAGGGAGCTGCTTTGACTTCTTTTAACTTAAAAAGTAACAAACATTTGCCATAAAAAAGTCGGATAGAAGCAAGAAAGAATTCCCATTTCTATAGGCCTTGAGGGACACCAGAACTGAGTACAGTTCTTAAAACGTCCTTTCAGTATTACTTCATATTTGGTTTTATTACCAGAAATAAGATAATTACCAAATATTTATCTTGCTTTTCTGATGTATTTTTTTGCATTGACACTGATCTTAGATCTTTTATGGATGTAGCCAAACAAAAATATAGTGGGAATGAGGAATAATAAAAGGCTAATAAGCAAGACCCAGATTAGGATTATCAGTATTTTTTAAAATTTATTTTAATTAGTTTCACATATACAGTACATTGGTTAGACATCTATATAGTTGATAAAATGATCCCCCTAATTGCTCCCTCCCTCCCCTGACCCTCCACCTAGCAAACGTATTAATGCTAACTGGATTATCAGTATTTTATCATAGTTAGAGTCAGAGTTCACATGGAACCGGGCACTATTTAAACATCACCTCATAACCCTGGAATTTACATGTAGGAGAAGCATAGACATAGATATAATGGCAGTTCTTAAAATTATTCAAAATACCCCTCCCATGACACTAGTTCAGGTTGCAGTCAAAGAAGGTATAGTAGGTCCAATTAACACACATTTTCTGAGGACCATGTGGGATACCATCCTTCAGCTCCTCTCATCAGCTCTCTCTATGGCTTAATAAAACTCTACCTCAACACCATGTGTCCTGCATAAGGAACTGGGTGTTGATGGTTTTCAATGTGTGGAAGCTTTTGGATGCTTTCACATAGCAGCCTCCCACATATTACATCTCTAGCCTTGCACTTGCTGAACGCCTAAAAAATCTCTAGCCTTGCACTTGCTGAACGCCTAAAAAATCACCACAGTTTCCAGACCCATTCCTCTTGGTATCCATGTAATGGTAGCAACTGTCCCAGGCAACTCTTGCACCTTTCCCAAGGATTTTAGCATGCTGATTCTCCAGGCGTCGCCACTGGCCCTGGTAACAATAACGTTGTTTTTTGCAAGGGGTGCCTACCATCTTGCTTGTAGGGATTTGTCTGCACCACTTGGACATACTATTACAGGATTCTTGGAGGTCTTACTGATCCACAATGAGGTAACAGGATGTGATTGCCTTTAGAAATTAAATCTGCAGTTTTTGGAGCAGGATCCAAATGCACAATTTGAACCCTTCTTCAGCCAGCATGAGGGCGGACAGTGATCCTTTTGACAGTCAAGGACACTGCCACAGTAACATTCTTTTCCTTTATCCACTCCCTTATTCCCACTATATGACTTTCCAAAGTAGTTCTGGAGCTAAGTTTATGAAACAAGCAGTCCTTGCTGTGCGTAGTAACAGCTAATGGAAATACTAGAAGCTGCAGTTGCTGAAGCCGATATCTATAGTCATAAGTTAATGCATAGTACAAAGGTTCTGGACATGGCATTTGCAGGCCACATGGTCATGCTTCATTCTCAAGTTGTAGCCAACCTCGAGCCGTGAGATCTGCATAATGTCGTATATCTTCATGAGAGAAAGATTTAACACTGGTTACATTCTTAGCAGTGTAGGTACCACTGAGAAACGCATGGCCCTGGTACTTTCCAAGACTTTGGCTAATAATCATATGAGCAACATCAGGTTTCACCCTTCTCAAAAGATGCCCGTCTCTCCAGCAGTCAAAATTATTAACTATTTCCTGTAGATCCAGGGAGATTTTCACTAGGTTTTTCTCTGTCCATATCTCTAACCTAGTAAATACTGCTTTCACGTTTAGCGCCTTCATATACTTGTTGACCAGAACATGGGCATTCATTATCATCTGTGTTGTCTTGGTAACATTATTATTTGGAATTCTTTATTGTCAGACACAATACACAATTTCTACATACTTGGGAAATGTCCACATACAGGACATAGGAACTGAGGAGGATTCTGTTCTTCTCTGAAATTGTGAAGTGGTGAAGAGTTCGTCCTGTTCGTCTCCGCTGATTGCCCAAGACTCAACTGATTTTAAGGATAGGCTAGAAATATGTTCAAAGTATATATAGACTTGATGTGAAAGACATTGCCATGTAAGGGCAGGATTCCCTTTAGCCCTGAGCAAGTGCTGATGGTCATGAGAGAATCCAAGTTACCCTCTGAATATCCAGTCATCCTGAGCAAAAGGCATGTCCAAGCCCAGTTTCCCATTTTGATGTGTATAAACAGAGAACTTCTTGACAATCTTTTCTTTTGCTTGAAATTAATAAGATGTCATTTTTTTTTTTTGTATGGGCAGGACATAGGTTGCATTTTCTGCTTGTTCTTTCAGTCTTTGAACATCATCAGGTTCCTAGGAATGAGTATTTCATAATAAAGATTTTCCCAGTTACAATGCAACCCTTGAAGTATAGTTACTATCAACAATAAGATGACATGCAACTTAATATGGGAAGGGGCCATTCTTAATATGGGAAGGGGCCATTCTTACTATCAACAATAAGATGACATGCAACTTAATATGGGAAGGGGCCATTCTTAAGGATGACCCCTTCCCATATTAAGTTGCATGGGGATTTGTGGGAGAGAAATCACTCCAAACCTTACCCATGACCACTTGATTTCACAAAAGGAAGGGCAAGGGGAGGCAAAGTAGCTAACTGGGATTATCATTGTCATGGCCCAAGTGAAACAGCTAGTGATCCCAGACCTCTGTCTCCCAGTTGCCTTCCTGAGACCCAAATCTTTGTCTGTGACAGTCGTTTGACTAAAGCTCAAAGCTATGCTGCACGCCAGAAGAACAGCTGCTCCCACCTGTGAGTATTACATGGTGACACCTGCTTTTAGACTATGTCTCTTCCTACTCACATTGTGCTTTCTTTAGGAGTGTCCTTACTTTACAGCCTTCCTCAAAGAACAAAAGTTTTAGTGTTCCTTAGCTGCACTCTTGCTCTCTTTATCAAGGGGTATACCCAGGAGAGGAAACTTTCAGATGTCCATCCAGTACTGTAACCTAGAATCAGGCCCTGAGAAAAGAAAAAAATATAACCACCTTCCCTTGGTTCCTGTCCCCAGGGAACAGCCTTCCCCTCCTGCTATATGTTATTCTTTTGAGTCATTGAAATTAAAGGTTCCAGAGCAGGCATTGATGGATTCCTGAGCAGGTCATAGGCCTTTGCTGTCCAGTGCCTTTTGCACCATTTCATACTCTGCCCCATACAACCCATTTCAAACTTCCAACCCTTTTCCTTTTTTCCCCATTGTTCACAATATGTTTATTTATTTGCTCAATCCTGAAATACATATAAAGTATTTTTAGAATAACTAACCAATCCTCTAAAAGCAAAAATATGAACTGGAGAACAATATTTGTGTTCAGTTATTTTTGTCTTTAGCCTTACAGTATGAGGTAAAAATGCCTTCCAAAATTATTTAGGTTAATACTTTCCCATCTAGGTCTATTCATTGTGATTATAGTTTTCATTTTAATATAGTTAGGTTCTTATATATTGCCTGTTTATAAAATGTCCTCCTGGTTTGTAAAATGTTATCATGATTCTAAGTCAGTACTATAAAAAAAAGTGTACTCAGATTGTACCTCTTTGAGCCTTTAACCTATTCCTGTGTCTTCATTCTTTCTACCCAGTTTCTAATCACCAATCTCAAGAGTACTTAGTTTATTTTTTCTGTATTTCTTTCTGCACAGATACATGTATATCTGTACAGCTAAAATTAGCAGATACATATATATTTTCTTTTATACCCTCTTTCTTATGTAACTGTAGTATAATAGTTTACATTTTCTTTTATAAACTTAAAGATATATTCTATAAATCACTTCATATCAATTTGTAGAGATCTTTCTCATTCTTTTTTACAGCTGCATAGTACTCCATTTTGTGAATATCTCCATTTGTGGATATATTGTATTTATTCAATCATTATCCTATGTATGAGCTTTTAGGTTGTTTACATTTTGAAATTATACAGTGTATCAACAAATAATCTTGTATTTATGTTTTTTTAGAGGCAAATTTCTAGACATGGGGAGGCAGTGCTAACTGCATATGTAGCTTTCTTTGAAATTGCCAGGTTCTCCTCCAGAAAGTTTTTGCCAGTCTGAGTTCCTACTAGCAGGATATTAGAGTGCCTATTTCCCCACAGCCTAAGGAACAGAATATGTTGCCATGCCATATATTTTAATTTTCACTAAACTGATTGGTAAGTAGTGGCATTTCAGTGTTGTTTAATTTGTATTTTTCTCATTATGAGTGAATCTGAACATGTTTTAATATGTAAAGGACCATTTTTATATTTTTAAATAATTATCTGTTCAAGTTTTTTTCTCTTTTTCATATCAATATTTTGGTCTTTTTTTTCCTTAACCTTCTCCCCACCCCAGCATAATCGAGATATAATTCACAAATAAAATTGTATATATTTAAAGTGTACAACTGATGATTTGATATATGTGTACATTTTAAAATATTTATTTATTGTGAATATAAATTTTCTAAAAGGCAAAGGAGCTAGAATAGTTAAAATAATTTTGGAAAAGAGTAACATTGGAGGAACCACTCTATTCAGTTTCAGGACTGTGTACTATTGATGATGGGATAAACAAATAGATCAATGAAAGAGAATAGAGAACCTAGAAATAAGAACCCACACATATATGGCCAATGGATTTTTGGCAAAGGAGCAAAAGCAATTATATGGAAGAAAGTGTTTTCAACAAATGGTTCTGGGAAATTGTATATATGTAGACAAAAAAAAAAAAAAGAACCCCAATCGAAACCTCACACTTTATTCAAAAATAACCTCAACATAGATAGTAGATTTAAATGTCAAATATAAAACTAAAACTTTTTAGAAGAGAACATAGAACATCTTCAGGATCTAGGGCTTGATAAAGAATTCTTAAACATGATACCAAAGCATGCTCTGTAAAAGAAAAAACATCATAAATTGGACCTTATCAAAAGTAAAAAATCTTACTTTATGAACGACTCTGTTAAGAGGATGAAAAGACAAGCTACACACTAGGAGAAAATATTTGCAAACCATTTATCTGATAAGGGGCTCATACCTAGCATATATAAATAACTCTCATTACTCAACAATATCAAAGCGAACAATCCAACTAGAAAATGGGCAAAAGACATGGAGACATTTTACTGAAGGGAACATATGGATAGCAGATAAGCACATGAAAAGATGTTCAACATGACATTAGAGAAATGCAAATTAAGACCCTATGAGAGACCATTACAGACCAATTAGAACAGCTAAAATTAAAAATATAAAGACAATGCCAAATGTTGGTGAGTTTGCAGAGAAACTGGATCTTTCAGAAAATTGCTGATGGGGATGTAAAATTGTATAACAACCCTGGAAGACAGGCAGTTTCTTAAAAAAATTGATACCACAAGACTGAGTAATTACACTTCTGGACATTTATCTCAGAGAAATGAAAACTTATGATTACATAAAAATCTGTACATGAATATTCATAGCAGTTTTATTTGTAATTGCCAAAAACTAGAAACAACCAAAGTGTTCCTCAATAGGTGAGAGGTTAAACTATGGTACATTCATATCGACTAGCAGGCAGATAGAAGCAGAGGCGTGCAAACCTTACTAAGAACGGGGCATTATAAGGTTAAACAATAAGAGATTTGCTATAGCAAGATGGTGATGAACATTCAGCATACATAGGGACAAATTGAGACAACAATGACAGAAAAGGGGAGGATTCAAAGATCCAAAACTGCAAAGGGGAATGGAGGTAAGGCACACGCAGAAGAAAATGGACTAACATGTATATACACATACATATGTACATACATACATACATATATATAACTGTCCTCTACATATTCGTAATGGTAACCACATGCCAAACATTCAGAACTGAAGTATATATCATAAAACAAGAAGGACCAGAGGGAAAACCCACAAGACCCAACCAAAATTAAAAAACCAGACACACAAGGACAAGGAAGCAATGGAAACACCGAGCTACCAGAAAGCAAACATAAAATAGTTATAGGAAAACCTCATATTTCAATAATTGCCCTAAATGTAAATGAACTGAACTCACCAATAAAAAGACACAGAGTTGCAGATTGGATCAAAAAACGAAACCCAACTATATGCTGCCTCCAGGGGCGCATTTCAGTTCCAAAGAGAAATATAGACTCAAAATGAAAGGGTGGAAAATGATATTTCAAGCAAATGGCAGCCAGAAAAGTGAGAGTGGCAGTACTAGTATCTGATGAAATGGACTTCAAAATAAAAAAGATAAAGGTACTGAGGGACACTTCATCATAATAAAGAGAATCATGCACCAAGAAGACATAATACTTAATATCTATATTCCCAATTAGGGAACCCTGAAATATGTAAAGCAGTTACAGAGCTAAAGGGAGAAACAGACCAAAACACTATTGTAGTAGGGGAACTAAATACCCCACTGTCGGATATGGACAGATCATCCAAACAGAAAATAAGGCAATAACATCCCTAAATGACACATTAGACCAACTGGACATAATTGACATGACAGAGCCTTTCATCCAAAACAGCTCCTTACACATTCTTCTCTAGTGCACATGGAACATTCTCAAGGATCAACCACATACTGGGACACAGAGACAGCCTCAGCAAATATAAGAGGCTTGAAATCATACCAACCATATTGTCTGAACGTAGTGCTTTGAAGCTGGAGATCAACTGTAAAAAGAAAGCGGGAAGAACCATAAATACATGGAGATTAAACAACATGCTACTGAAGAATGACTGGGTCAGAGAAGAAATAAGAAGAGAAATCAAGAGATACATAGAAATGAATGATAATGATAGTACAACATATCAAAACTTTTGGGACATGGCAAAAGTGGTCCTAAGAGAAAAGTTCATATCATTACAGGCTTATCGCAAAAATAAGAACAAGCCCAAATAAACAACCTAATGCTTCATCTTAAAAAACTAGAAAAGGAAAAACAAATGAAGCCTAAAATCAGCAGAAGGAAAGAAATAATCAAAATTAGATCAGAATTGTATGATGAATGAAATTGTAAAAAAAATAAAAATAAATGCAACAAAGAGGTGGTTCTTTGAGAAGGTTAGTAAAATGGACAAACCCCTAGCTAGACTCAAGAAAAAAGAGAAAAGACACAAATAAAATCAGGGATGAAAGAGGGGAAATTATAAAAGACAGCAGAAATACAAAGGATCATACAAGAATACTATGAAAAATTATATAACGCCAAATTTAATAATTAGAAGAAATGGACAAGTACTTAGAAAGATACAGTCCTTCTAGACTGAATCAAGAACTGAAAAATCTGAATAGACCCATCAGTAGTATGAAAATAGAAACAGTCATTAAAACCCTA